TCTCCCTTTTCCTTTCTTGTTCCTCCTTCCCTTTCTCTCTCCCTCCCCCACCTCTCTCTTACCTAATGGCAGCCATGGTTAGAGAATCTTTTTTTCTACCACATCTTTCTGCAATTATGTCCAGCCTCACCACAGGAGAGGCATTGGTGAGGTAAGAGGTGGCTGTGGCTTGCTCCTTTGTCTCTCTAAGCTTTCGGCATTTACCCCTGTATCTGACTCCTCGTTTTTTATTAAGACCAATTAGAATTCGAGCTACACAAGACCATAAACAATAGAGCCAAGGACTGCAAACTCCAAAACCAAGGACCCAAATCAGTCTTTCCTTCTTCCATTGATTCCTTGGATATTTTGTCACAGTGCCAGAAAGCGGAGGGAAGCATAGGTACAGCTCTCCACTGGCTAGTAGTTTCTCTGAGGGCAAAATCTTGAACATTTCCAGCATCGTTTACTATTGCGATGGTAAGAATTCTACCATTCCAACTTCCCCACAAGGACAAAGGGAACCAAGAGGGTTGTGCTTATAAAGAGAAGTCTGGACCACCGACTCATGTCTGTATGGCAGGGTGAAGAGTCACCGCTGCTGGCAGAGATGGAATGATGCACGGACAATGTACTGACTTGAATGTCAGGAATCCTGGCTGATATGCTGAGTGTCTTCCTGTCTTAGCAGCCCAGATGCTCTGAATTCACCAAGCCCATGAGTCACTGAAATATCACCAGGTTGGCTTCATTTGGAAACAGCATGTTTTTACTAGCAGAAAGCCTTAAAGGTGAAGGTAAAAAAGCTGTGGCACATATTCCATGGCATCTCCGATTGATGTTAGCTGCATCACTGGGGATTGTAGGATTATAGCATCCTAAACACTTACTAGTGACTGCTCAGCTTTGGGACTCAGGGCATCTTTCCTGCTGCTCTTTATTATTTTTAATTCTATTCTTATTTTTAATTTCTTGATTTTAATTTTCTGATTTAAATCCATCTTTAAACTTCCATCTACTAAACACCACCTCAATTAGGACCAACTTGTTTAATTTCTAATAAGCGACAGAATTTTAAGGCTGATGAAGAACTAAAGAATCTAACCCAGCCTATGTAGTGCAGATATGAGGGGGTGGGAGACAATACCAAGGCCACACAGCTAACTGGGGATAGAGCCAACCAAGCTAACAACCAAGTTCCTGGCTTTTCAATTGAGGCAAGCCCTTTGCTAAATTTCTGTTTCTCAGCTATGATAGATGAGAAAGTACTGTGGTCTTCTATCAGCGCCATGTGTGGAGGAAAAAAACAGCTTTGCTATAGATATCATATTTTCTCACATTTTACCAATAGTTAAATGATGTTCTTCCTGGAAAACCTTGGCTACAATCTACAGCGCCTTAGAACATGGTGTAATGTTTACTGGTCCAACCAAATTAGTACACTTTGAACTGAGAGGTTCAAGGTTGCAATTTGTACTCGGCATTAAGCTGTCCAGTTAAGGGGCTGGTGAAAGCCTATTCATCTGTCAAATCTGAGGCCACAATTAAGAGGCTGAAGATGACATAGCATAGAGAATAATCAGTCACATTAATGCCAAGACTAATCCCTCTTGTTTTGTGAAATAGACAGGAGTTCATTGGAGCTATGTGTTAGAGGAGACCCAGAAAAGAAAGTAGTCTTTATTGATATGGTAAAATGACAAAAGGCTGAGGGAATATTGCCATAAGAGGCACCAGGGCTCCATGGTCAAGAAGGAGAGCTGAGCAATAAAATAATGAAATTGAAATTTCAGCATATCTAATTACTAACACTGTGAATTTGAGCAAGCCACCTGACCTCTTAGCTTAGGTTCCTCATGAGGAAAACCAGACGTAGTAAGAGTAGCTATCTCATAGGGTGTGCCTGAGAATTCAATTAGTCAATGTAAATTGCTCAAAACAATGACTAGCTTGCGGTCGGGTTCCCACAAAAAGCCAACTCCTTTTCCATTATTGCAAGCAGAGAGTGTTTGGCTTCGTGGTGAAGTTGTGAATATCGAAGCAGCCTGAGTCATCGAACATGAGTCTCAGAAGTGCGCCACCTGAACTCCGTGAGCTGATAGGAATGTGCCATTCTTCTTGGAGCATCCGTGAAGAATGGGAGAGGCTGAGGCAGAGCTCACAGACCCTTGAGTATAGCAGAATGATGTTTGGCAGTTTATTTTTCAGAAAGCATCCACCTGCCAGTGAAAGTATCCAGGAGTCTTGTGTGGGTGTCCTGATGACCTTACTGAGCCATTTGTCAATGGCCAGCCCACTTTTCAACCACTCTTAAGACATCCCTGCCTCTATCTTCTCCTTTACTGTGGAGCTCTGTGCAGTTGTTCAACCTGCAAAATGAGAGGGAGCTTGTAACGACCCTTTGTCATTTGCAGCTTAGCATTTCTTCCCAAGTATTTCATTTAATTATATTTCCACAATATGAAGACGGTCTCGGTGATTTCTAGAGAAACTCACATGTGGCAATGAAAAGATGTTAAGCAGGCAGTGAATGATGCCTAAGAGTATTCAATTTCAGTAAATGGCAGAAGCCCAGGGCTCCCACTCATTAAAATGAAATTTATCAACTTTCTCAGAAGGTGTGCTAGTGCAGGTCAAGCAGGTCTGTCCAGACCACAGGCTACGCCTAGAAGCAATGAACCAGACCTTTCTTTCCTGGCTCTCCACTCCCCATGTTAGCTCTCACTGGAGTTTATCGCAGTTACCGCAGAAGAGAACTGAGTTTCTGTTTCTTCAGCACTCTATAGATGACCAAAAGCCAGCAATGTACAGACACAGCCTCTGGTCACTTAGCACAATAATAATCAGACCTGGCTAAAGGAGAAGAATGCCAGGATATCTGAAAGATGACCTCAACTAGGGGGCAGAAGACACTTGACGCCTGGTTTTTGTTCATTTCTTTCTTTTTCTCTTTCTTCCTTCCTTCTTTTCTTTCATTTTTTTTTTGCAGGAATATGTTCATTTGGATGTCTGGGGCTCTTTGCTCTACAAAAACACTGGCTACTGAATTCTATTGATGGATTTTCCAGGTGTTCTAATATCTGCTTACTGTGGTGGTTATGCTGTTCCCCACAGGCCTTGTCAACTACCCAACTTTCTGATCTGGCTGTACATCTATTTTCTTTTGGTCACAGGAAGCACCAGATGAAAAGTCAAGAACACGGGGAGATAGGTGAGCTGTATATCGTGCCTCCATTGGATTTGAATTCCCATGCCTTCTTTGTTCTGGTTTTGTCTGTTTTCTACGTAAGCCCTGTCTCCTGTGCAGTCGATAAACTCTTGCAATACAAGGTCTTTCCCAATGCCAGAAGTCATAGTTCCCTTGTCTCGCTCATGGACCTTATGGCTTTCTATGGTTGCCTAGTCCTAGTTATGGATGCATAACCCTTGTTGGCTATTTTGAACTCCCCTCCTCTAAATTCATTTCCTTTATTGAACTCTTCTCCTGTCAATCAGACCTAGCTCCTTGGCCATGGAAAAGACTTTCAGAAGCTATAGGGACCAGAAGCCACCCTCAAGAGTCATCGAAGCTGAAGAAAGTGTCTCTAGCATCTGAATAAAAGGACAAAGGAAAATAAGATTCACTGAACAGTGTTTTGTAGAAATATCTAATGAAGCCTGGTGTGTGGGATGGAATAAATCTTGATGCTGTAACCCAATCCAGAGCCTGTGCCTGGGATGAGGGGAATTACAGGCCCTAGAGGAGAATACACTACTTACATTTTGCTAAGTTACCATGTATCCAAATTGCTTCCTAAATATTTACCTTTATGCCAATGGACTAGTGTCACTCTCAACCTTTGTCTAAGAAGCTTCCTTGCGGCAGGGAAGAGTTAATGCAGACACTCATAACTTGCCTAAGTGCTGACAATAAGTTACTACTAGTGGGTTCTCAGCCCGAATTGAAATACCTTTCCCCCCATCTCTAAGGCCTATAGAATTTTGTGGAAGAGGAAGTGGAAAGAATTTGAGTCAAAAGAAAAAAAAAACCAGAAGGCAGCTATAAAATAGTATCTTCTAGATATTCATGGCCATTACAATCATGAACACACAGCAGCTGTGGCCACCTGTACAAAAAAAAAAAAAAGGGCATGAAAGTAGATAGGGGGCTGGGGAGTCAGCGGGAGTAGGAAAAGACAAGGTAAGGGGGGTGGTTATCATAGGACATTGTATATGTGGTCGTTTGAATGCAATTGGCCCCCATAAGCTCACTGAAAGTGGCACTATTACAAGGTGTGGCTTTGTTAGAGTAGGTGTGGCCTTGTTGGGGGAAGTGTGTCACTGTAGGGGCCAGATTTAAGGTTTCCTATGCTCAAGCTACACCCAGTGTCTCAGTTCACTCCCTATTGCCTAAAGGTCAAGATGTCGGCCTCTCAGCTCCTTCCCTGGCACCATGTCTGCCTGTATGACACCATGTTGTGCCATGATGATAATGGACTGAACCTCTGAAAATGTAAGCCCCTCCAATCAAATGTATTCCATATGTGAGTTGCCATGGTCATGGTCTCTTCATAATAAAAACCCTAAGACAACATATATGCATGCAATTGCTAAAAATTAAAATAAAGTTAAAAATGTGGCTACTATAGAAATCAGATATGGCTAGAATCTAATGGGGTCCTCACAAAATGTATGTACAGCAAAATGTGTGGTTTTGCAGATACTTAAAATCTATCGTCTTATCCCACTGTCATTTGGCAATGTAGGAGGAATCAAAGAATTATAGGGTTTTCTTGATTCTTTGATTCTACCTCTCCCATCTATCTCTCTCTTCTGGTCCTTGGTGGATGCCCTGCACTGTGCGCATGTGCAATTAATGAGTCAGTGTTAATGCCGCCTCACATTCCTCTCACCGTATTTGAAGCACTCTTTTGGATGGTGCTCTGTAAAACCTGCAGGTACTAAGTCATGCCATTCTGATTATTCTTGGGACAAAAATGTAGCCAACAAAACTAAATGCGAGACCTACAAACCCTCTTGGGGTCTTGATGACATTTGTTCTGACATTACAAAGAGAGGAGCTGGAATTCGGAGAGGTGAACTTTCCTTCAGAAGATCACATCGCAAGGAAGAGTACTGAAGCTAAATGCATTAATACAACTGGATTTACTGAAGCCAGATCTTGCCGCAAAGGGTTAGCATCAGGCTAATTAGGGAAAGGGGGGATTTGGACTTGAAACTCCAATCCCTGGCAGCCTCTACGCAGGTGTCACTTTGAGCCTCCACAGATCTCTATTCGAACCCCTTCCCCGACAGCCAGAAAGCTAAGCTTATCTGTGGTATTTAAAGGTCCAAGAAATTGGGCAAAGTTTCATCACGGAGATGGAGAATGTTGCCTGCTTCTGTCAAATTTCAAAATCTTGCAGTAGTTGTCTTATTTCCTTAATATCTTACATTTTAAAAATACAGTCTCTAACTCCACCAGGAAATTCCCTCTTGTCACTGAAATGGTCCAGGGAAACCTTAGAGAGATCAAATGTGGCAGCTCAAGGTAAACAGAGAGAATAGACCCTGGACCTTGGATTCTCTAAGCCTGCAGAAGGAAATAAGAACTAATAATAGAGGTCATAAGGAATGGATAGAAGCCATCCTTCTGCAGCATGGGGAGGGAAGCTTCAGATAAGCACTCACCTACAAATTCAAGGTAATGAATGACCTCAGGTAAGAATGGCAGCCCCACCATGGTGCCGTCCTAGCACCAGCTGCTTGTGTAAGGAGGCAAGATCCACCTTTCTGCTGCATGTTCTCATCATCCCTACATTATCTCTCCTGAAGGATTCCTTGACTACTGCAGACTCCATTGACCCATTCCTCTATTGTCAGAAATTCAGTAGACTCTTGTATGGTGTCTCATGTTTGCCTATTCCAGATCAATCCCTTTGAAAGCATGCCTCAGGATGATGTATGCCCCACAATGTTCACCTGATCTTCTGTGAAGAGGTGGTCAACCGATGCCAATCAATACTCAGAACCCCCCCCCCAGGCTAACACATGCAGATGCATGAGTGCTCCATACACAACACCCTAAGGTCAACTGTCAAATCCAGAGCTTTCTACATCAAAATAGGGGGTGATCCTGAGGGTTGCTGGTGATGCTGAGGGGGTGCTGGTTATTCTGAGGGGGTTCAGCAGCTTCCTAAGCCTCCTGTCCATGTCAGCAGTGAGCCCCAAAGCATCCCTTAAATATATGTCATGGCATTGGTGTATACAGCCTTTGCTTGTGGATGCCCTTTGGTCTTGGGCATTTACTTTGGAATGGGCTTGGCTGATTTAGGTCATATTAGAATTGGATCCTATTCCTTCCCTTATCCTTCCTCACACCCACAAAGCATCTGAGAAGAACAGAGAAAGGGGTGGTAGTTTTTGTAACTACATCTTTGCTTAAGTTAGAAATGAATACTTTGGAAGTCACTTTCCTAAATCCTAATGGTCTTATAGACAATGTCTTTTCAAAATGGAAAAAACAATTGAATAACAGCCTCAGCATTACATTAAAAAGAACACATCTCCCCAACTTCTTACCTGTCCCCTCCTTCCCCCAGCAGAGCCAATAAGTACTTTTCCAAATTTCTAATACTTGTTTATTATTCTCTACACTAACTTCAATTAAGTGTGGCCAATAAATTGCCAATCACTGTGTTCTACCTTTCTAGACAAATGAGCCCTTCAATGAAGACTTCACCAGCAGAAAAGCCACATACGCTTAATGTTTACACGGCAGTTTCTGTTAAGTATTTTATGGAAGATCTTGGCAAGAAGCTGGTTTTGTTTGAGTAATGGCATTTTATCCAAGAAGCTCACTGCAAAATGTTCAAGGTATTAACAAAAACCATACCTAAGGGTGTCTACAAGCTTGGGTAGCATTTGAGAAAGCGAGCATCCTGAGCAGCTTTGATCCACCCAGGATATCTAAGTCCAAATTGACAAACAGCAACTAACAGCAGACCCTGATGGAGTGTCTGTCAGCCAGGGCTGGCAGGGCAAGTGCCACACCAGCCGCAGACTCTTGGGAAAAAATCAAGAGCTAGAACCCAGGTACTATTCACAATAACTAAACTATAGAACCAGCCTAGATATCCATCAAGAGATAGATGAATGTATGAATAAAAGGTGGTATACATATACAATGAAGATTTATTTAGTCATAAAGAGTGAAACTGGGTCATTTCCAGGAAAAAAAAAGAGTTGTAACTGGAAATCATGTTACGTTAAATAAGTCAGACTGAGAAAGACAAATACTGCATGCTTTCTGTCATGTGTGGAAGGTATATAGGAAGAGGAAGAGGGGAAAAAGAGGGAGGAGGAAATAGAGGAAGGACAACTAGGTGGAAAAAGAGGAAATGAAAGAAGAATACAAAGTATTTGAGAAGATGTAGGATATAAACAGGAGGTGAGAGATGGAAGAGAGTAATTAGGTAGTAACGTCAAAATGTGTTGTGTGTATATAAAATATTACATTGAAATGCACAATTTTGAACAATTAATATATACTAATAAACTAGAGGAAAAGTTCAAGAGACTGGAAAGTGCATCCTGATGATGATCATCTAGTAGTACTGTATGCTATAACGAAGCCATAACTACGTCATGTCAGTTTAACATTTTTTATGTGAGACTGGTTAGAATTGACCATCACCTGGCCATGTCATGGGAAATGACCACAGAATTGGGGCTTTTCTGAAACAATTACTGTGAATAAAATTCCATTCCATAGCCCTTTATTTTCTGGTCAGTTTTGTTCTTTCTGAAAGGACTGTGTGAACACACTAATGGACAGGGTCACCAGCTCAACTGTAGAAAGAAGGGGTCAGATCTCTGTTCCAATGTCAAGCTATTGTTTTTTGGTTTATAAAGTAAGCCTTTTTGTCCAAAGTGTCCTATACAAAGGTCTGCATATCATGTTGTCCTAGCAACCTTCCACCATACACAATGGATCTTTTAGAGAAGAATGGTTCTAATCACTTATCTCTAAGAAATGAATCTATGTTATGGGTATGCCTTAGTCAGTTCTAACATATAACAAGCACAATGCATGCTGTACAACAATGTCTTGGGCAATGCTAGAACACAAATACAAGGGTGCCCTCACAAGATGACAATGAAGATCAAATATTCCCATTGCCTAGTGATGGCTTAGTTATTGTAAGGTCAGAGTCCAACATGTTACTCACATGTTTGTGGTGATATTTTTATTTAACTAACATGCACACACACACACACACACACACACACACACACACACACACACCCCTACTGCTTGCCAGTCATCAAGCATACATAGACAACTGTGTAGATATAGTGCATGGTATTTGACAATCATAAATGACAATGTTATTAGTTTATATTTTAAAAACAGTTATCCCTTGAGACTAGACTTGGTCACCACCGCTAATGGAAGCTGTCAAAGGATAAATATATAAAGATGAAAGTGCTTAATCAATTTCCTGGAGCCATTGTGGGGCGGCTATGCACCAACCCCACAGTTCCCCAGAGTTTTCTTGAGTGAGAGCAGTAGGGAATACTAGATAGAAGGATTTAGAATGTGGAGATAAACAGGCAGAAA